GCAGAATTTCACCGCTCAAAACTCCCGCATTGCAGCCGTATTTCTCGCTCAGAAATCCCAAAAAAAAAAAAAAAAAAAAAAAAAAAAAAAAAAAAAAAAAAAAAAAAAAAAAAAAAAAAAAAAAAAAAAAAAAAAAAAAAAAAAAAAAAGGCAAGGAGCCTTGCGTACCGCCCCTGCCAGAATCCTCGCCTACTAACCTTCAGCCGCACGAGGAAACGGACATGGGTTGGAGGGATCATGGCACCAATTATGCCAGCATTTCGTATTCAGCCCTGCAGCCGAGTGACGGCTCCTAGAGTTCGTGTCACAAGCCTTGCCAGCCCAGTGACACATATGACGCTAATGTGAGGCGTGGTTAATGTGATTTGCCCGTCCGTGGAGTGGCCCTGTGTGAGTTCCTGCAGTCCCTGCTTTTGAGGCTGAAATCCATTCTCTTCGGACTATCGCGCGCCGTATCTGGGGCTGAGGGGCTGGAAGGCTGACTGTGGCCTGGAGTTCATGTGTACGGCCAAGGACTTTTGAGACTATTTGCAAGGCAATCTAGTACGCCATGCCAGCGAGCTCCGTGGCTTGCAGGGTCATTCTGCTTAGAGGTGAGATTTTGGTCGGGATGCTTGCTTGTTGATGCTCTGCTACCCATTTCTCCGCGGGAAATGCATAATAAAAGAGCCTTTGCCCGCCTCCCATAGCATCCACGACGTCTCGTAACGGCCAAGCCGACTTGCACCCTTACTCACGGCCGTCAACTCATTGGCAGCTTCTATTCATCACTTTCATAATCAACCTCGGCGCATTTACACAAAGAATATAGCCGAGTATGCAGTTGTACTCGCTTTTGGTCTTGGCAGCCGCCGAATGGGCAGCCGCCGAGCAAGTTCTCCCCATGCAAGCTATCGGCAGCGTATCTGCGCGCCAGCTCTTCGCCAAGTCTGAACCGGTATTCGAGTTCTCAAAGCGAGCCACATGTGACATCGGACAAGTCGCTTGCCACGACGGCTGTATCCCTATCGGCGGCCGGTGTTGCGCCTCAACAGGCTGGTGCAAGGCTGGTACCGTCTGCGACGAGAAACTCGGTGGTTGCTGTCCGCTGGGCAAGACGTGCACCAGCGGTCCTACCGGCGGTCCGACCTGCGACACGGGATACACGCGATGCAAAGACAAGTGTATGCCCGTCGGAGGAGACTGCTGCAGCGACGGCAACTTTTGCAAAGCCGGCACCAAGTGCAACGGAAACGGCGCATGTTCCACGGGTACTGGAGGAGGTGGCGGCAGCAACCAATGCCTCTCGACCGAGACGTCCTGCAACGACAAGTGTATGCCCAAGGGATCCGTGTGCTGCGGCAATGGCCGGTACTGCCAGTCCGGATATACCTGCGTCAATGGCGGGCTGAATTGTTCACCGGGAGGTACTGGCGGCGACGGCGGCGGAGGCGGCAACCAGTGCCTCTCAACTCAGGAGGCATGCAACAACAAATGCATGCCCAAGGGATCCGTCTGCTGCGGCAACGGCAAATACTGCCCGACAGGATACACGTGTGTCAACGCCGGCCTCAACTGCTCCCCTGGCGGCACTGGAGGCGGCAGCAGTGGTGTTCGTGATTCCGGCACCACATCTGCTGCTCCGGGCACGACAGCTCAGCCTACCTATACGTTGACGTCGGATGACGGATCCGGTGCTTCACCTACCAACGCCCAACCTACCGATGCCCAGTCTGGGCCTACTCCTCCCAGCGGCACGACGGCTCCGGCCAACCCATCCCCTACCGACTCCGGTGCCGGGAGGGCCGCGGGCACCGGTGCCCCGACACAGACGAGAGCCCCCGCCGCAGCTGGAATGGTTCAGGTGCCTCTGGCCTTTGGGGCTGTGGCGATGGCCCTTCCCTTGGTGTTGTAGGATGCTAGCTGGCAGAGGGCGTCTTTGGTCGGAGGAAGGGACGGAGGTGGCTGGAAGACTGCGGGCGACTGCGTCTGTGAACATGACGAGAACGTGACGGATGATATTTTCCGTATAGTTTAATATATGATACCAACTGTTTGCTCCAAGGATGAGGCTAGTTGCGCTTGTATGGGTGATTTTGATCCTCGAGTGAAGATGGTGGTACGAGCAGTCATCATCAGCCTCAGTCCCAATTCAGCACATCAACAGAGATTGCCAAACACCAGGGCTAGTCATCGTCGCGATGGACCATGTGGCATTACGCGCATCTCCGACGTGGTGCACACGCAAAGATACGTTGCTGACGGCAAGGACGCGTGTACTCGGGATGTGGTCGGTCCAGCTTCAAACGCGACTGGTGCAATTGTTCTTCGCCGCCGCCGCCGCCGCCTGGCCCCTCAAGCCACAGGACAATGGCTGCGGTTCGTTTCATCGCGTTGCCTTTAGCCCCTGCTATGACGGAT